GGGGGGGGAATTGCCCCGGGCCCCGAGTTGCTGGGAGCCCCTGAAAATTTTTTGTTGGGCCCCAGCCTTTTTGTGTGTTAAATACTTCCGCGCAAAGGACAAGATATCTGTTTTCTTCGGCTAAGTACCGAATTTTGGCATAAAAAATGAGATAAAGGTAGGGGCACCTAAAAAAAAATTGCCCCGGGCCCCCGCCAATCTCTGGGCAGCCCTGTCAAAATACAAGCTCGCGGAATTTGACAAATTTTGAAAAGATGTAAAAATAGCTTCACTTTGAACTGTATTTTCTCAAAAATAGCCCGTGGCCTCAATTTCAAATATAGCTAAATAAAAAGAAAAAACTTTTCGGCGTTTGTATGTATCAAACATATCGTCAGGAAAATAGAGGCTCACAAAGTTTGAGCTGAGTCTTTGAGACCCAGTTGCTTCGCACGTGTTGTGGTCAAATTCTTGCCAAGAATCAAAGGCCGAAATGTGAACTTACTTCATGAAAACCGCTTCGAGAATGGTCTAGTTTGAAAATTTAGCCATTAATTTCGATTTCATGAGCCCATTTTGGTTACACGTTAAATATTTTTGTACTTGATGATATTCAAAATTTGTTGTATATTCAAGCCCGCCTTTAGCGTAATGTTGGTGATGATCGGAACTGAAATAAAGATATTTTAAAAACTGGCGGTGGCCTCACGATAAAACTTTCTAAAAATGACAAAATGTTTTCTGTTTCATGTATTTTTATTTGATATCTTAGGTATAAGCGTAAATGTAGGGGCTCATACAGTTTATGAGGTTGTAGAATGCATGACTTGCCTCTATTTTCATGTAAACATGAAATGCCTAAAAGTGTGAGCGTAGAAACACTATAAAGAAACAAGAAAACGACTTCATAACACGAGTATTTTTCGCAAATTTGGTGTTTGTTTTTAGAATTCAGTCACGCGATTAATCCGCGCTCACGTGCACTCCACGCTTGGTTTCTCGCGCATGCGTAGACGAAAATCCACCCTGTTCCAGGGTAGTATATAATGCTTTTCAAAAAGGATAATTTGGCAAAATTGGTTTCAAAATCGACAAAATATTGAAAAAATCGTTCCCAGAAAGTGAAAGAAACACAAACTGTTGTATTTAACTTGAAAAGTAGGATTTCTTTATTATATTACTGTGTCAATTTGCAAACATATTAACGGACAATTTAAAACTTATTTAAAACTCACTTCAAACAAATAGCAAAAACTATCCCGACTGTTGGAAAAAACTTTGCTGTGATATTCTTTTAAATTTATTTTGTTTTGTATCCTATAGATTTCTCAATTTGTATGATACTATTTCTTTTCATATGTCATATTTTCATTATGCTGTATGACGTTTTGACCACTGCATTGTGTTTTCAAAACTTGTAAAGTGAAAAGGGTGTTAAAACTTTATTTCGAACGATATAGTTTGACATTTCCTATTTCCAAATTTCGCAGTCATTTCCTGAAGAAATTAATGCTAAACAGAAACTATTTTTTTATTCTAACTCTGGTGAAAAAGTCATTCCGTTTTTATGTTTATATTCTAGGCAGAAATCGAAAAGAACAACTTTGTAATAAAGCAATAATTTAAAGTCACACAAGAAGCAATTTTGAAAGCGTGTGCATACAAGAAATACTGCAACAACAAAACGAAAACAGTTTCATTTCTGATTTTAATTGAACTGATATTTGGATATTGTTTTATTCATTAAAAATTTATACTAAAACTTACGTCACACGGTTTTGCATATAAATAGTAGGTAAATATTTAACTACATGTTTCCCAAATTGCATTTCTATTGTTACTAGTCTTTGAAAGCCCATAATTCATGAGCACTTCGCTATTTGAAATCATAGATAATCAGGTGAAATCAAACGAGCGGGATGAAAACAATGTTGCTGACGCGACATCCGCGATGCGATCTGATAGTGATACGTTTAAATATTTCGAACCCTGAAACTTCACTTTAAACATAGCTGTGACGATAGTTGCACTTTGGCAGTTTTAGCCTGTGCTTCCACTGCATTCCTTTGATTGCTTATGGTGAAACACAGATGAACTCTGATGAATTCTAATTCATGAAATACGAATAGTAAGCATTCAATTCATTGTTAGAGAATTTTTAAATTCACTTTATTAATGCCTCTTGGATAGTAGGCCTAATTGTTTTCCATCGCTATACGAGTATCTTGAGCTATATGAGTATCGTTGTGTTATAAAATAAATCACCTGTCGTGACTGTAACGAAAAAGGTCTTTTGGAAATGTGCAGACGGTACACTGACAATGTCCATTATTAATGCGAGTGGTGAAAGTGATTATATTTCAGATACAAATCAGTGTGATTAGCTTTTATATAAACTTGAATCCTAATGACGACGCAGTCTTCCTGATTGGTAAACAAGACATATAGCTAAATAGCAGCCTAGTCCCAGGCTCTCTCTTCGCTGCTTTGATATATTTAAATAAGTCTTACAAGTTTTATGCCTGGGTGTGCTGTGCGGAACGCTTCAGCGAGAGAGCCTAGCAGATTTCGGTAAAATGGTCCCTGATTTCAAAAAAGTGGTCCCTGGCCTGGTTACCAAGCATACAGCATTTTGTAAATAGAAAATGTTATGGAATTTCCGTTGCGTTTATAATTAAGTCATTAGTTTTGCTCTAATGCTGTCGGAACAATGAAATAGGCTACGGTTCGCTACCATACGGTCAGAATGGAATAACGGGCTAAATATGACTCGTGTTTACTAAAATATAAAGCCATATTAAATGCTATCTAGAAGCTTCAAAATTATGCGGAGTTTCCGACTAAAAATGTTTGACAACACAGTCATGTCAGGCAAATATTTCCAATCCCCTCAGCTACTTAAACCTGTCAAGTAGAAAGCGTAGTTGTGTATACCAATACCGCGGTTTAGTGTTGATCACAACTTGCGAGTATATAAATAACATCAACGATTATACGACCATTGCTCAGACTCAGTAACGTAAATTTGTATATATTTTTTTTTTAATTGAGCAAATTTTAAAATTAATACAGTTTGAATTTGGTTACGTAGACATCGAACATGATCAACGAACATTGTCGTATTTACAAGCTTATTTGTATTTATAAATTTTCCGCCATATTAAAAACACTGAAATCTGCTAGGCGTTCTAAAGCACCTTTAGGGGTGACGTCACACCTAGGTCCCAGCCTCGTACTACATCCACGTTTTTTCTCGCGCTTGCTTCAGAACGACTGGACTAGGCTGGCTAAATAGCACAGAATAGTTTTATCATCTTGTTACACATCTTTCGTAGTTCAATTAAGGGATCTTACTATTAATCATCTGATCTACAAACTGCTGAAGTTTAACTAGGCTAAGATGCCCGTTACTCTATAGATATTCACTGGCTATAGGGTATTCTTTTTAGCAGAAGCGTAGCCACAGGAAGGGTTTATGAGATGGACATGCACCCCAACTTCAGGACCAAATTTGTAATTCTTCCAAAATTAAGGAAAAACCTCGTAATCATTTCATCTTTGGCATAAAATACGCCAAATTCATGTCATTCGGATACGGATAAAACACGCGAACGAAAATGTTCAGGAACCAATGCCCCCGGACGGCCGGATTCCAGCTTCGCGTACAACGAGGTCGAGTCAAATTAAAATAGATTAAGCGCTCAATCCAGATTAAGCATTGGTAAGTGCTTCTTGTTGTTACTCTGGCCAACATAAGGTATGCCAGAGTATTAAAACACCAGCGCCTGTCGTTTTGGGCGTCACAAACGCGACCTATGTTCATGGAGTTAACGGCTTTTCTCCTGTAATGGTTCACAGGCTCACTTCAAAATCATGGCCGTCGATTTAGGAGTTTAAAAATATGAAAACAGAAATATATTTGTTTTTCAATCCAATAGTGCGACTATTTTCGTCGGCATTAGTGCCAGAGCATACTTAAGAGTACTCGTAGGGTTTTGGTAAAATCCTAACTTGTCTACAAACATTTCAAAATCCTTCAAAAGTTGGTGACTTCATGGCGTACAGAACTTGACGATTTTTCGCAATACTTTCGCGATCTTTCTTATATTACTCACCTTGTATATTTTCAGGAAGGTGCCACTACGAATCGCGCCAGGTGCATATGGTAGTCAAAACAGGATTTTCTGGCATTGGGTACCTAGTCTAACTTAGGATTTAAGGGACCGGTCATTATTTATGGCAGGGCCGGGTGGGGGCCGAAAAAATCATTACCCCACCTTTTCGAAACAAAATTTCTAGCTACCCCACCGGTGGAATGCCAGAAAATTTTTTTACCCCACCCAAACCTATTTTGTTGCAATGTCAAAGGTTCAGACATAAAATATGTAATGAAACAGTTTAGTATTTTGTATGCGTATTACTCATCAAGGCCCTTGATGAGTAAGATCATCTGCTGTTAGAGAGTAAATAATAATTATTATAGGGTGCTTTGACCACAGTGGACATTATAATTAAAAGGCAATAGGATTTGATTGGTAATACTTGTTTACCAATATCCCTTGCCCCTTATTTGTTATGGAGTAATTAAAGCACACAACAGTCATGCCTTTATATTATGGGTTAGCCCTACAATAGCAAGGTACTATATAAAGAATTATAGTTATCTGAAGGCTTAAAATTTGTCTACTTGTAAAATTGAAATATGAATGGGTTTTTATAGTTTGTATTCAACGCTATATTCCCTTTTCACGAGATAGTGCAATATGCTAGTCCCATGCATAAACATATATTAACCATATGCTTCAATATTTTAGAACACTAACCGTATTTCACCACCCTATCTCTTTCCCACTTTAAAGTTTCACTGTATATAATTTGGTTTCTTTCACATTCTTGCATTTCTTTATTAATTGAAATGCAATTTTATTTTGAAACAGTTTCACAAAATATGTGCTCACCCATGATTGCAACTATCTAAATTCTAAAATTTCCTCTGAAATTCCTTTAATATTTCCTTACTATAGACAATCACATCCTTAAGAATTCCCAAGGAATTTTTGAAGTTTATGAAATCAATTTAATATTTTAATTTGTAAACAATACAACGATACTAAAGCATTTGTCCCATGTGAGAATATCTGAATTTAGAAAGTTACTGTAAATTAATGAGAAAAAGTTGCTGTTATACAGTGTGAAGATAAAGATATTCATCCGAATTCCAAGTATGATTATATAAACAATTAAATTAATCTGTAAAATGGGTAAATAGATTTCTCTTATTTTATCCATGTATACATGATCTGCTAGTAAAGAAAAACAGCTAGTTGCCAAAGGCTAGAGATGAACATATTGTGAACTAGCCATTGGAATGATTCTCCAGATTCACAAGGAGCATGGGGCATATTTCATGATTTGCTACCTGAATTGTCCATATGGTTTACAAGCACATACTGGATATAAATATAATTAGTTATGCAGTATCAAGTGTAGATGCCCAAAAATTAAATCCTGAAAATTTAATAGACTGTACATATACTTTTTGAGATATGTAATAAGAGGATGTTTATATGGGGGTCAGGCTGGATGCCCGGGGTTAGCCGGTTAGGGGCTACAGACTTAAGGTCACTTTTCCCGAAGCAAGATCTCGGGCTAAAGGGGCGGGATCTCGCTTAGCTATAGCTGGGCCCGCTCTTTACCCATATATACACAAGGTGAACTTTAGTAAGAAATAACAACAAAGGCAGGATCTTGCCAAAACTGGGCCAGCTTGGGTACCCTGGGGATGGCTTGCAGTTGCACCATATAAACAGCCCCTATATATAGGCAGTATATATTTGTCTGGTAATTGGAGTCTTTGGAGATTTTGTGTGTAAATGAATATAAAAATGACCCTTTACGGGTGGGTTGAGGGGGTGTTTCTGTCAACATTTTGGAAAGCAATAATATTTTATTAAAAAATTAGAATAATCACATATTAAATTCTGATAGTAGTATATATTGTATTGTGTGTTATTAAAGTAAGGTTATTTTTTTTACCCCACCTCTGCATGCAAGGATTTTTTGGCCACCCCACCTAAAGCAACTATTATTTTTCAGTTACCCCACCATTTTCTCTTCGGCCCCCACCCCTGCCATAAATAATGACCGGTCCCTTAGTGTCTTAACTTTGGAAGTCATTTATTTATTTAATAATTACTAATTAATTGCAATAACAACAAATGAAAAATGTTTCTTTGCCTTTGGTGCATCTTCAGTGCAAATAAGTTAAAATAACAAAGTGACTTTGTGACAGGCAGGCGGCGGCAGCCTGTCACAGGAGTTAGGGGTTAGGGTTAGAGAAGGGTTTTGATGTTGGGATATAGGTTTTAATAGCCCGGTTTATCATTGCAAATATTTTCGTGCGAAGCGAATTTTTCTTTTGTCTTTATCCAATTAGTTCCAGATGGTTCCAGTTGAGAGACCAAAAATAAATAAAAAATTCTTAAGTGGCAATAGGCCCAGATATGCACCCTACTTTTATTATTTTACTCTGTCAAACACCAGACGATTTTACTCGTCAGAAGGAGAGTGCTGCAACTCAATGGTTAATTATCCGCCCAATAGGCGCATGCACTCTGTTAACTTTTCAACTGGAAATGCGCCGTCAGTTGCGCCCTAGTTTATTATTTTTACTCTGTACAACGCCAGACAATTTTACCCGTCAGAGCGAGGGTGCTGCCACTCGATGGGTTAAATTTGTTCAACTTTTCCTTGTTCAACTGCTGTCTTAAATCTTGTGATTCTCATGTGCAGAAAATATTATTAAACACAGAAGAAAATGAGTTAAAATGCTTCTAAATGCATGTATTGTATACGATTGTAACCTCCAATAATTAACAATTAGGTACAATATTCTTTATCGAGCCTGTCAAAACCAAGGTTAACTTTTCATATGGTCATTGGTTATTATAATGTAATTGATTAATGGTTTACAACCAAATATGCAATGATAAAGAACCACAGAATACTGTACAGAAGCCCATCTCCATTGTTTTTTTGCGTAAGCGCTATTTGTCATGATTCGACACTCGATCAGCAAGTACCGTAAACAGAAGCAGTCATTCCCCTGGAAATATTCAAAATGGCACACGTCCAGGTGGTGACTGCTTCTGTTTCCGGTACTTGCTGAGTGACGAATCATGACGAATAATGCTTACGCAAAAAACAATGAAGATGATCATCTGCATGTATAGTATTCTGTGCCAGAACCATGAAGATATTAATGCTGAAATTTTGAATATGCCGGTCACATGATTTTCTGCATGTGTGAACCAGGCATGCCATATATAGGTAGAAGCACTATATATATCTGATATAAGACAAAATGTGATTAATGAAACACAAAAAACTTACGTTACCTATGTGTTTCTATATTTTTATAGCACACCGTCTTTCTATAACACCATCTCAAAAGTAGCTATAACGCTTCAGTTCAGGTGGCCTTAACTAAAATTTTCCCTCTGAATCAATTTAACCACAGACTAAAGTTTTAATTAAACCACCTTCTCCACATGACTTGAATTAGGCTACGTTTGCACTTGTACCGGATAGCTTTCCGTAGCGAGGTGAAAAACATCTATCCGTACCTTTTAGGAATTAATATCTCCAGACCGAGGAATTATTGCAAGGGAAAGATTTTGGTTCGCTCAGCTTCTGAAGGTCGTACATTCCGTATCGGACAGGTGCTTTTTTATAGCGCTACGGAAAGCTATCAGGTATAGTGTAAACGTAGCCTTAGTTCATATTATGTCGCCTAGGCCTGGCCAGAGTGTACGCGTGCGCAGGCGTCTTGTTCTGCAGTAGTTAGTATAGGTAATAGCATGGTTCCGAGTGCAATTTTGATATAGCAGTGCATATTTATCCAACTTTCACGAGAAACCATACTAATACTTATTAATACTTTACATAAAAATGTTCGAGACAATTGTAGTTTTAACTTAAGTTTTATATAGCGAACGTTTCACTGGCAAAGTTTTCCGACTTTGTAACATCACATTATACAACGCTAATAGCCCGAAAATTCCACTCAACTATGTAAGGTTTTTTAGTCTTGTTTAAGGCAAAGGCTTTCCCATTAAAAAAAGATAAAGCCATATTTTCCATCCGAATTAAACTTTTACTTTATGTAGCGCGGCGCCTAGCCTCCTGCGCAGAGGATGTTAGTGGCCGAGGCCCCACCTAACGTCTGGTCACATTCGCTACACATTTGACTTCCCGGCAATTTAACCAATCACAATCATGTACACG